AGGATGTCCATAATTGACTTGAGGTCAAGTTCCGTTCTACCTTCCCAATTATATTTAACTTATGTTTCACTACCACTCCATCGGAAAAGGAACCATTCGTACCAATACAAATAGTGAATATTAGATAACAATAAGTAGTTTAAAGGCTGAGCACTCGTATTTTCCAATCCACTGATGATGTCATAAGAGGATATCATTGACTGTTTATAAGAGTTATGGGTTCCCTATCTATGAATGATAAATCTACACATACATAAGTCATATCTCTAATGTACCGGCATGTGTACCCTTACATAATGTTAGGATATCACCCTTTGGTACATCAAAAGAAACAAGTTGAGCATATGGTTTATTATTCATCTCAAGAATAAGATGATCACATATAAATTGTCAAAAGTGAATTTTTTATTCAAATAGAACTATTAATTAAAACAATTCAACTTTAGTCCGATCCAATATAGATTCCACCTCTAGGAACTATATCAATGTCTTTATCTATAGAGTCCCCCTCCTATGACCAAGACAAGCCGTCTCTGTTAGGAAGTTGACAATATAACATTCTTAACATGAATAAAGCGCCTAACTTTATTCCCTCGATTGCAGATCATATATTTAGACTATCATATTTCTATATGTTCTTCACCTTATATGCACGATCTAAAGACTTATAACGACAGTCTCACACTTCCAGTTTGCTTATCATATATTCAACAAATATAAACATAAAGAGGACACTATATTGATATCATGGGCGTGCAAACACGTGGCAATGCCAGGAAGTAGGGCTGTACAAAATGAACTATCAATCGAGCGAAACCAACAACAACCGACTAAAACCGACCGAAGAAGTAGGTACCACATCAGGGCCGACTGGTGACGGTCGGTTAACCGAACCAAGCCTTAGTGTATCGGTTCGGTTTCAGTTTCAGGTTTATGAAGTCGGTAGGTTAACCGAACCGAACATCCATGTGACCTTAAAAAAGTATTTTAAAAAATATTATTAAAATACTTAAAATATTTGGCATCTACTAGGGTTTTGGAAGCATAGTGACATTTTTGTGTTGTTTTTAAGTTTCAAAATCAGGTTTGCTTTTGATATTTAAGTCTCAAAATTAGGTTTTTGGAAGCTATTTTTGAAGGGGAAAACTATTGGTTAACTGCCAAAACTAAACCGAACCGACCGAGTCTGGCAGTTCGGTTGATGCTCAGTTTTATATCCCCCATTGGAAAGTTTCGATTCTAGTTATCTGCAAAACCAAACTTTTAGTTCGGTGACCGACCGAGACAAAACTGATAAAAACCGACCGTTGAACATCCCTACCAGGAATGGTGCAGGATCCCCAATCACTTGGTGGTCCACGATGCAATCCACAATGAGGGTAAAGAGTGTGCTTGAGATGTCTATAAATAGAAAGTAGAACATCAGAAAAAAGGGGTTATGCAAAGGAAGAGAGATGTACCATTTTTATTAGACACTGAGAGTTCCATAAGAGAGCTTCTTAAAAGATTGTAACAGAACACCAACTTTGTATTGATTCATATTCATAGTGCAGCTCCACAGTGAAGTTTATTCTACTTATCTTTTTTGCTCTATTTATTTTGTTTTCATTTGATATTGTTTCTGAATTATTCATCACAAATATTGACGTTTCTTTGAAATAGATTAATATGGGTAGTAACAATGCTCAAAGGCCCTATACTCGTTTATCATTTTATCACAAATCTCTAATTAACGTTTGTTTTGATTGTAGAATACATAGGCAGATTTTCATCTCATGATTAAAATATATCACATATAATTAGTCAAAATGAAGTGTTTTATTAATTAAAACAATTCAACTTTAATTTGATTTAATATATATTCCACTAATGAAACAATATCTATATCTCTACCTATGGAGTCCTACTCCGACGACCAAGTCAAGCCGTCTCCATAAGAAAGTAGAGAACATAACAATCTTAACATGAATAAAGTGTCCAACTTTATTCTCTCGATTGTGGATCATATTATTTAGCTATCATTTTTAAATTTATGTCTTTTGCATATTCTTCACATCATATACACAATCTAAAGACTTAGTGCTACAGTCTCAAACTTCAAGTTTGCTTATCATAAATTCAACTAATATGAACATAAAAAGGGCAATCCTTGATATATGAAATAAATAAATAATTCTTTTATTGATATCAAAATGTCTAAATAACTTTGTTACATTTATTCCTTAAAGGGCATAAATGCTAACAATTTGTTATACTAAATTTGTCATGTGCGACACTTTGTGGTAAGTTTACCATCAAATATAGCATATGACAAATCTGATATTTGATTATTATTAGTTGATATGTTTATGTATTTCATTTAATGGTTGCAACATTTTCCTTTTCAAATGAGAAATGTTAGCGTCACTCTTTTTATTACTCTATTTATCGCTTTCTGCATTCACTGTTTGACACGTAAACTCCAATATCTCATTTTCTATTAAAATATTAATCATGTTAGTGGAGTCCACGTGTCAAACAGTGAATATAGAAAGTGACAATGAGAGTGACAGAAACAGTGACACTAACATTTTTTTAAATTATTTTAAATTAAAAGTTTATTTTTACAACTTACAAAGTTTAATATCACGGTAGAAAGTAAATTTAAAATTTGTAATGATATTATTCATAGGAGCGCAAATAAAAATAACATGTCAAATATATCATTATCACAGTTTTTAATAACAAATATACAAATTGGCGTTATCATTTGCATCAAAGACAGTCTAACATTTGAAATAATATTATGCATCAGAGAAGGAAAGAAATAATATATAGATATATCATTTTTCGCAACTTTTTAGTACTAAGGGAAGGCCATGTTTGGTTCGCCTTTCGAATTGTGATGATTTGGTTTGAATTATAGAGTTCGAATTGTGGTGATTTGAACTGTGATTCGAACCGGTGTTTGGATACACAATTATAAATTGTAGTTTTGAATTGGGAATATAACACTCGAATTGTGTTTGGATAGTGTTGAAAACTATCATTAGAGTTTTGCATCAAATTTTATATATTTTGATATGCAATATGGATGAAGATTTGTTCAGCTCTTCATTATGAACACATTGAAAAATAAATCATCTCAATTGAATTGAAATTAAGAAGTTAGGACATTTTTAAGCTTAACGCTGAAGAGAGAAAAAGTAAAAAGCAAATTGTTTGCATTGTAGACAATAATTCAAACTGTTAAATTTAGGGGTTGAGAGTCAATTTTAAAATCAAGAATTTAAATTAGGGTTAATGATTTGAACGACCTTCACTTAATTCTCAGGAAATTGTAGAAACTAGACTTGCATTTAAAATTTATGTTAGTAAATAACTAATTTACTAATGTATAGAAATTAATAGGCCTTTTATGTTCTAAAATTTTTTTTTCTAAATTTTTCCCTTTTTCTTTTTCTTTTTTTTTCTCTTTTTCTAATCTTGGATTTACCGTGTAAATCTAGGATTTACCATTAAAATACAATTTTTATTGTTTTGTAAATCTGGAATTTACACGATAAATTTAAAACTTTACTAATATAATATAAACATTTTTTTAGTTCTGTTCATAAATCTAGGATTTATTGTACATTAAATTTAGGATTTATCATCAAAATACATATTGTCTTCATACATAAATTTTGAATTGAAAGTGTTAATACATGATTTATTGTTGCTAGATTATATTAACTTTACTAATATAAGATAAACATTTTTTTTTAGTTTTGCTTGTAAATCTAGGATTTACCTTATGGTAAATTCAGGATTTACAAGTAGAACACATATTGTGTTTTTCGTAAATCCTAGATTTCATCATAACACAATTTATATTCTTTCATAAATCTTGAATTTACCCGTTAAATCTAATATTTACTAATAGAATACACATTGCGTTTATTTGTAAATCATGTATTTATAGTGTAGAGAGTGGGAGATAGAGAGTGTGTGGAAAGAGAGTCATAATAAAGATTTAATTTCCTTTTTAATTAAGCGCATTTTAAAATGTTAATTTAGTATAAATACGAATTTACAGAGCACTATTTATTTACTAACTAATTATAAATGTTGGTCTATTTATTTTTATTGTCTTTTTAATCATGCCTATTTCTCACCATCTTCTTTAATTCTCTACTAAATATCAATTTAAATCTTGGGCTACCATTTGAATTGAATTATTTGGTTTCAATTGTTGAAACAAACGAGGTAAATATTTGAATCTTAGATAGTCTAAGGGGAGTGGAAAAAAAAAAAGAAAAAGAAAGGAAAAAAACAAAAACAAAAAGCAAAAAAGCCTACACTTACACAAGAATTTCCTTTGTTAGCCTAATTTGTACATTTACTTTAAAGCCTACATTGCTTAACGCTATCCAACCCAACTAAAAAGTGCCACATTTTCAGTTCTAAACTGTACAACCAAATCTGACAATCCGGTTTAAAAACCCATTAATTATTAAGGTCCTGTTCATTTCACCGATTCGAGTTTAGAATTCAAATTTTATTACAGTAAAAAACTCTCAAAAACAGTAACATCTAACTTTTTTACTGCAGTAAAAAGCTCTCACATAAAGTCACATTTCAACTCAAATTAAAAATTTGAATCAGCGAACTAAACGGACCCTAACTACAGTCACAAAAATGCAAAGAAAATATTTCTCCGGCATCTTTTTCTACTCAATCTCTTGTTGCTTCAACAAAATGAAGTAGGGTTTTAAATAAAAGTAAATAAAATATTTCTTTGGCATCTTTTTTTACTCAATCTCTTGTTGCTTCAACAAATGAAATAGGGTTTTCAATATTTCCCTTTAATCTTTCCTTATATTTTTAAATTTTTGCTTTGAAAGGGGAAAATAGACATTGTTGAAAACAAATGACAATTGGGTGAAAATTTTCAAAAAAAAAATAAAAATAAAAATAAAAATAAGTTTTAACTTTTTGGGTTTGCGAATAAGTAATGAAACAAGAGAAAGCCTGAATATTTACACCCCAATTTGGCTCCGCAAACCTCAAAACCCTTTCTTCTTCGTCTCTCTCTCAAACTCTCTTTGTAAAAGTCCCCTCTTTCTCTCTCTCTATCTCCCATGGAAGACGACGATGAGTTCGGAGATCTATACACTGACGTTCTTCGCCCCTTCGCTTCCTCGTCGTCTTCCTCTGCTCCGCCGCCGCACCAGGCTTCCGCTGCTCCGCAACCTCTTCGCCGTCCAATCGATCTCAATCTTCAGAACGACGAAGACGACGCCGTTTTCGGAGCCCCCAGCTCCAATCCTGTTGAAACCCTAGCTCCCGCCGTTACGGCCGATTCCGCCGCCAAAATTTCGGTTTTGTCCGTAGATGCCGCGAAATTGGACCGCGGAACAACGGACGATTCGAATTCAAACTTCGGAATTCGACGCCAAGACGAGAATTCGATTGAAAAGGAAGTGACTTTTGATATCGAGGAAGGTAATTTGGGGATTGAAGAGGATGTTGGCTCGGAGCCGGTGATTCCCGGGCTCGAGAGCAGCTTTCCGATTCGTGCGACGACTGATATAGAAAATCTAGAAGCTTCTAGAAGGGATGGTAGTTTGGGCGGCGATGGAGTTGATGGCGGCGATGATTGGGACAGCGATGATAGCGAGGACGATTTACAGATAGTTCTGAACGATAACAACCACGGTCACATGGGAATGGAGAGGGGTAGAATGGCTGGTGGTGACGACGATGACGATGAAGACGAAGACGGGCTCGTTATCGTGGCGGATGGCGACCCCAATCAGGCTATGGAAGAGCAGGATTGGGGCGAGGACGCGGCGCAGGCAGCGGATGGCGAGAGGAAGGAGATGGGAGAAGCTGGAAAGCCCGGCGTGGGCGGCGCGATGGCATCAAAAATTGGTTACAGCAATCATGGTTTCCACCCGTTTCATTCTCAGTTTAAGGTTAGTGTCTCGATATGTTGTTGCTTGAAATAGGGATAGGGGATTTTCTTTTGTATGTACATATGGGGTTTGTTTTCCCCTTTTGATGATGATGATGAGAAACTAGAGTGCTGATTTGGGCTTTTGTAATTATTTGTGAAATATGAATGGCATAACTGCTTTATTTTTTATTTTTTATTTTTTTTTCTTTTACAACATTAATGGTATTTACTTCGGCATATGCAACGTGAATTCATGAAATGGCAGTGGCTATTCAGTGCGGAATTTAAGCAATTTCACCCCACAAAGAGTTGCTGATGGAGTAAATTTAACTAGTTTAACTTAACTAAAAGAAACATACTTCATGCTGAGATTCTTTTGTAATCTCAAGTACACGCTGTTGTTCTGATGCCCCGAGATCTTTCTTTCTTTCTTTCTTTCTTTCTTTCTTTCTTTCTTTCTTTCTTTCTTTCTTTTTTCTTTTTTTTTAATCGGACAATAATTTATTGAATATCTTCAGCCATCGAAGTTCATACTCAGAGGATAAATGCTTCACGATGCTTGAAAGTTGGTTTTTCATCCCTCCTTTTTTATGTTCAATCTTTTACACTTTACCGGGCTTTGATAAGATGCATATAAATGCTAAAAAGTGTGAAGTTGTTTCAAGTGCTCTTTTTGCAATTGGTAATGGTACGTTTTCCATGAGCTCGTTAGTAGCCAAGAGCTAGTAAAACTATGATGTTAAAACCTTACCATGAGCTACTAATCATGAAAAGCTTTCACAGTCGGAGTGCGGAGTTGCAAATAAAAGCGAATTACAAAGGACAGAAACTAGAGGGAAATTGAAAAAAAAAAAAATGTAAACTTTACGTAGAAGAGAAAAGGACTACAGATGGTTGCATTTTCTTTTTAACTTCCATTTGCCGCCAGCAGCTTGTCATTTTAGTAATAGATCGCTGAATGCACTTCTTGCATTGGTTTCTCAATTTTCTAAACTATAATTATCGTTGGAGTTAACCTCCTTGTTTTTCCTACTGTTGATTGAATAGCAATGTGTTTCACATGTTAGAACTTGTGAAATATTACTACACAGATACAATTAATCCTATTCCCTCTTGTGGTTTTGCCTAATTATCCCTCTCTCTCTCTCTCTCTCTATATATATATATATATATATATATATCATGCGGTCCCTCTTTCTGTACATGTCAGTTTTCTTTAATAACAAGTTCTTTTTTCCCCTATGGCTGTAAATGTGATAATTTCTTCCAAGTATTTTTCTGCATTAAAAGGTTATTTTACTCTCTTCCTACGTTTCGCTTCCCCTTCTAGTGATTTGTTCTACATTTGCAACACAACTAACAGTACTTTTTAGTAGCTTTGTATGCAATTAGTTCTACCAGAGTAATGTCGTAATAAAACGCAGAAATTTCTTTGAAGAAAATATGCTGGAATTGTTGTCTTTTGCAAATAAACCTTACAGTTATATTTTGTTTTCGTGAAGTATGTGAGACCTGGTGCGGCGCCAATTCCTGGAGCAACTACTTCTGGCCCTGGAGGAGTACCAGGTCAAGTTCGTCCACTCGTGAACATGGGTCCTATGGCTGGTCGAGGACGAGGTGATTGGCGACCATTGGGAGTAAAAAATCCTACACAAATGCAGAAAAATTTTCATTCTGGTTTCGCAGCTTGGGGTGGCAATGCGTCAGGGAGAGGATTTGGCAGTGGACTGGAGTTCACACTTCCTTCACACAAGTAATTTTATTTCCTTTGTTGCATACAACTTGTATAATGACTTTGTTCATAGTGTCATTTAGTAATCAATTACTTAATCAGGCATTCTAGGATTGCTATGTCACCGTCATTTGCTGCTTTTCAGGCCTGTGTTTATCTATCTGTTGTTTTGTTGGCCAAACAGTTTGACGCTGGAATTTGCCCTTTTTCTTTTGAGTGGTTACTTTGGTCGCAGTTCTTTTAAATGCTATCTTTAGTGCTGTTAAAAGAATAAACTTGTTGAGGTGCCCCCTGACATGTAGTTTTACCCTGTACTTGCAGGGTCTTTAAGGCTTTGTCGATTGTTGTTATTGGTCTTCTTTTGTTTCACTATTTTAGTGTTAACTTGCTAATTTTTTAAGGATTTTGTAGAAAGTTATTTCTAATAATTACTTATTCTATATGATTTCAGGACTATATTTGATGTTGACATTGATGGTTTTGAGGAAAAACCGTGGAAATATCCTGGTGTTGATACATCCGACTTTTTCAATTTTGGCCTTAATGAGGATAGCTGGAAAGATTATTGCAAACAGCTGGTAATTGTTATCCTTACCATTAAAAGGTTTAGCATATAAAAGAGGATTAAGAAGATCCCTTTATTTTATTTTTGCAGGAACAACTCCGCTTGGAGTCTACGATGCAAAGCAAAATTCGTGTTTATGAAAGCGGGAGAGCAGAGCAGGTGATAAAGTGCTTATGTATCTCTAGAAATTATTTGCTTTACAAAATCATAGTTCTGTTTTGTTTTTTATGTAACACTTTGGTGTAAAGGTAAATCTTTGATTGCTTTCTCCAGGAGTATGATCCTGATCTGCCTCCAGAATTAGCAGCAGCAACAGGTATTCAAGAAGTTCCTTCTGAAAATGCAAATTCTATAAAGCCTGAGGTTGCACAAGGTGATATACAAAAAGGGTCAGCTCGTGTTCGGCCACCACTGGTATGTACAGGGTGTTACGCCCTTCTATTGTTTTCATGTAATATCTTACATTCCCATTCATGTTTTGCTTTTCATTATATGTTGTTTCCTATTGATGGATCATATATTTTTCTGCCTTTTCAGTTGTTTGTCATCATCTTAACTTTTTGTTGTTTTAATTAGATACCCACTCCATACCATATGCATCGTCAATGTTTGCTGTTTTAGATTCCAAACTCAATAATTTAATTGTTTTGTGCCAGCCAACTGGTAGAGCAATACAAGTGGAAGGTGGTTATGGTGAGCGTCTCCCCTCCATAGATACCCGACCACCTCGAATCCGTGATTCAGATGCAATCATTGAGGTAATTCAAGCTAAAATTTCCCTGATTTGTTTTATAAGGATTGAATGCAGACTAACTGGTTGGTATTGGGGTAAGTAGATTGTCTTGCAGGACTCCCTAGATGATAATGCCTCTGAAGGAAATAATGATCCAAACAGACTAGACAATGATAATGATACACCCAAGGAGGATTTTGGAGGGAACGTAGCTGAAGAAGACTCCACAGTGGTGGACTCTGAGTACGCCGACAAATTTCCCCAGGCTTACAGTGATCAAAAGAGAGAGCCACTTGGACCAAGGGCTCCATTTTGTGATGACATACCTGATAGAGATAGAGTTTTGCCCTTCCCTTCAGAACCACAGGTTCGAACTGCGGGTTTCTGTGCACATGTTTCAGTGCATCCTGATGGCGAACTTTCTGCTAGATATGATGAGAGGTATGGACTATTATTGCATCTTTGTAATGACCAATATTCAACCTAATGATTGCTTTTTTCCTTGTTTCTTTATCTATTTGCATCAATGTTCATCAGTTTGTCATCTATTAAATTGATAAGATTATGTCTAAACTTCATTGACAGCATTTAACTTTTTCTACGAAACAGACAAACTCAGGGAAGAGTATGTGACAGATCTCCCCGCATGACTCGTAGCCGAAATTCGAGGGAAAAAAAGTATATTAATAACGAGCCAGAAGACTCTGTTGAGAGCATGGACAGTAAACAAAGCCCTCTATCATCTCCTGCCACTTTTAGGGATGCCCATGAATCAAGTGTTGAGCCGAGAGATGTTGATGATCACGACGAGCTTGTGCCGGCAGATGGAAGCCCCATAATGGAAAAAGATGATACAATTTCAAATACAATAGCAGTAAGTGATACTCTTGAGGATGGAACAACAAAGAAACAGAAAATAATTTCTCAAGTGGAACAATCTTCCAACAAAGAACCTGATGATGGAGATGACTCAAAGGCCGCCAGAAGTAGTGATAACAGCAGAGCAAGATCAGGAAGCAGCAGGGACTGCCCAAAGCGGTGGGACGGGATTGAGGAGGAAGTTATTCAAGGGCATTCAACTCGCATGGGAAATGTTAAGAGACACTTTGATGAAAAGGAACAGGGTATCCATAGGAAAATCCGCGATGGAAGACAAGATTTGGAAAGAAATCGTATGGTTGGAAAAGGGAGGGAGGACTATTATCCTTACAAAGAATTTGATCCTAGCTCGGTTCATTTGCACATGAGAAGTGATGGGTTTGAGAGGCGGAAGGAAAGGGACAATCCTGATGGGGCTTGGCAACGGAGAGACGATGATTCTCATAATAGAAGAATTAGAACAGAAGAAACAAGGAAGAGAGAACGTGGTGATGAAGTGGGATCCAGGCATCGGAGTAAGGTTCGAGAAAGTGACAGGAGTGACAAAGATGAACTTATCCATTCAAGAAAACAGATGGATAACGGCAGCCACAGGGCTCATTATGACAAAGATGTTGTCCCTCGTTACAGGGGAAGAGATGATAATTTGAAGGGTAGATATGAACATATGGATGATTACCACAGCAAGAGAAAGAAAGATGAAGAACATCTGAGGAGGGATCATGCAAACAAAGAGGAAATGATGCATGGCCAAAGGGAGAATACCAACCGTCGAAAGCGAGAAAGGGATGAAGTCTTGGATCAGCGGAAGAGAGATGGACAGCAAAGACTTCGGGATGGACTTGATGATCACCACTCTGTTAGGCACAAAGATGAAAGCTGGTTGCAGAGGGAGAGAAGTGAGAGGCAGAGAGAAAGGGAAGAGTGGCAGAGGTTAAAACAACCTCATGAAGATAACAAGCCTAAGCGAGAAAGAGATGAAGGGCGGAGCGTTACAAGGGGTGGGCGTAGTTCAGAAGATAAAGGATGGGTTGGCCATCCTAAGATTATGGATGAAAGTAAAGGTCCTGATAAGGAATACCAATATAAAGAGACAATTCGACATGGTGAGCCATCCAAAAGAAGGGACAGAACTGAGGATGAAAGTTCTCGTCATGGGGGACGTGAGGATGCTTATGCACGTGGAAATCAAGTGAGTAATGGGGAGAGAAGATCCAGACTGGAACGGCCAAGTGTTCGCAATGATCGTTCTGTTAATGCTTCTGATGACCTAAAGGTTCAAGACAAAAAGCATAAAGAGAACGCAAAGAGGAATAGAGAATCTGAGGGTGGTGATTACATCACTTTAGCCTCTTCCAAGAGAAATCAAGAAGACCACGGTGGTCAGAGTAATGAGACGGTATGTTCCTTGCTTGAATGTAAGATTGTAGAACTTTGAAAAGGAATAAAATTTTCCTTTAGAAGTCTGCAATACCCCAAATAGAAGAAAGTTTATGTTGCTTTTTCTAGATGAGGAAATTTTGGGGTTAAATCTTGTTTTGGAACAAATAAATCTGTTTAGTGAGATGTGTGATGTGTGTGTGGGTGTTTGTGGGGGGTTGTAGAACGGTAATGGTAATAATTCTTTTTATCAGCAGAAATAGCCACTAAGACTTAGGTGAGCCAATCTAGTCAAAGGAGAAAACAAGTACATTTCCCTTTGCTCATTGTCCTCGTGACTTGCCCCACCCTCTCTTCAACATGAGGAGCATAGATTCTGCTATAGGGTTTTTTTTGTTTTTTTTGTTTTTTCTAATTTTGTTCTTCATCTAGGACTCTTAAAAAAATGAATTCTTGATCTGGTCACTGACCCTCTGTAATTTAGATGTTGAAATAACTGGATCGTTTTATTCAGCGTTGTTATCGCTTCTAAAATGTAATACCTGTAATTCAGATAAAAAAATGTAATACCAGTAAACTTTCCAAAGTGAAAGTAGTAATATAATAATTTAGTTGAACAAGAACTTTAAATGTTACTTGTAGGATGATTTCTTCTTTAGAAATCAAAAAGATTAGAACTTTTGTCTTATGAAAGACTTGGGAACAAATTAGTAATTACATATCCAGGTACCCTTTGTGTGACAGTGACTAATGACTTCCCCCAGACTATTTGTGTTATCCATGTGAGTAGACCTACTGTCTTCAACATGTATACTATTTTCTAACACCAGGCACTGGCATGCCAGTTAGCACATCAGGGGCCCATTTGAACCACTTCTGTTCCACGCCAACTTTAACATGGCAGCTGCTATGCAGCAGTCTCAAGCCACCGACGTACCAGAGTTAGCAGGGCAGTTGGATGAATGGGATAGAGACTATTGGACATGGCATTGTCATATTAGTTGGTGAGATTAAAGGATTGGTAAATAAGAGGGCATATGTATTACTTGTCATCAAATCTATACCGATGCTGGCCAGTTTCTCAAGTAATAGTTTTTTGGGCATGCAATTTGCACTGACCACTTAAAAACTTAAGAAAGCTTTATTTTTATTGTTAGAGGAATCAAATTTATTATGTTGGAACCTGGGAAGTTGGAGTCTGTTATCCCCTGAACCTGTACTGAAGGTTCCAATCCTTCGCTTGACATGTGTGAATGATATCCTGTTCCGCTTTGTTAAACTGCTGCTAGCTGGATTAAGGTGTATGCATAAAGGCAGACGACTTTTGTAGCCAAACCAACTTACTAAATAAATAATGCGGGCAATTTTCGTTTCATGTGCTGACTAAAGGGATATTTGATCTCCCTAGTACTGCATCACGAAACGTGATGCTAACAATTAACTTGTGATTTGTTGAAAGTGATGCTTATTATTTTTATAGATAAGTTGATAATGATAGTTTTTCTCCCTAGTACTGCATTACTATTTTATTATGTAAATAAATACTTTGTCATTGTTAAAAGCGATCTTTTGACAGATAGGTAGATTGTGATTGATTTATATCATTAAGAGGCTCTCGGTATTGGTGGATGATGAAATGGTTTCTTGTTTTTTCGTTGTTTGGATGTGGTAATCTTTGCTGATGAAAACTTGCTTTTAACTGCATTCATTTACTTTATGTTTTTCCGTCCAAGTGAAAGGTTTGAGGTTCCGGCCGTGGAATGTGGAAGGATTTCTTTTTATTATTATTATTATTATTATTATTATTATTAGTTTGAATTTATTAACTTATTTTTACCACCATGGGGGAAAGGATAACGAGAAAGAGAATTATCAACTTAATGAGATGACTAATTTTTCTCTTTCTTTTTTTTTTTTTTTTTTTTTTTTTTTTTTTTTTTTTTTTTTTTTTTTCTTTTGTTATTCACTTGCGTCTTGATCAATTTCAAAACTTTGCCCGAGTCGGTCTTTCTTCCTATTTTTTATTGTTATTACTTCTTATGCTTTTTTTATAGGTTTTGAAGGGAAGCATTGAAAAAGGCTTTGGTGAGCGTGATAATCCAGCGCAGCATCAGTCTTCCAGAAAACAAAAGGAAGAGGCTTCTTCTGACGACGAGCAGCAAGATTTAAGAAGAGGGCGGTCCAAATTGGAACGTTGGACAAGCCATAAGGAGAGGGATTTCTCTATCAAGAGCAAGTCGTCATCTACCCAAAAGTGTAAGGAGATGGATGGGAATAACAGTGGATCTCTAGAAGGAAGAAAAATCTCGGATGAACCTTCCAAGCCAGTTGAGACTGTTGATATCCAACATTCATTGGCTGAAGAGAAAGATTGCACTGATCTGGAGGCCAAGGATGGTGACACAAGACTGTTGGATGATCGGCACCTTGACACAGTTGAGAAGTTGAAGAAACGAAGTGAGCGTTTCAAGCTGCCAATGCCAAGTGATAAAGATGCATTGGCAGTCAAAAAGTTGGAGAGTGAAGCACTGCCTTCTGCCAAAAGCGGATCTCTGGCTGATTCCGAGATTAAACAAGAACGACCGGCTAGAAAAAGGAGGTGGATCAGCAACTGATTTGAAGCCATGCGGAATTTGCGCTCGATTGACAGATTCATGGTCTGCTTTCTAGTGGAAGGTCGTCCTGGCATAATTCTTTATTTCTAGAACCCTGCAGATATGATCAAGCTGTGTTGTCTCTAAAATGATATATATTAGGGTTCTTCAGATGGCCTTGTACCTTTGCAGACATCCCTTGTATCAGAGTGTGCCACCATGCGCATTTTGAGTTTCATGTATATACTGATGAATGTAATATTTAATTAGTCACACTGATGGTGGCACAGAATTGCTTTTAGGGATTATAAATGTGCTACTCAGGTTTCATCTGCGCCTCGATGAGGGCTCGCCCGGATAATGTCATCAACTGAACCTGTTGTAGAAGCTCAGGTGTCCGGGGATCCAAAGGCACCAGTTGAATATTGGCAAGCTTGAAGAGCTGAAAGATAAGTTCAGTGCAAAATTGTGAACCAAAGACAAGCTTGGTTGTTTGAATCAAGAATTATATACATGTATTCTATATATATATATATATATATATATATTTTACTAGAACCGATCTTTTCTTTAGTTTGGTTCTTTGATGTATTTTTTCGTCTTTTGTTACTCGGCAGGAAGCATGAACGAAGAAATATTAGAACGTTCTACTCGTAGAGTAGGACAATTGAGTTTTGCAAATCACTAGAAATTACTGAAAAATGTTATCGGAGGAGACAGAGAAATAAAATGTCTTCTTTCATGCCATTAATCTCTCTCCCTTGTTCATTTTACAATTATATCGTTCAGATGCGTGTTGCCCAGTGGAAATGTACTCTTCGGTAAGTTTACTAAACCGAATTTACTCGTAAAGGAATGTAATGGAAAAAGTAATTCTAAAGTTTATTAAACCGTAAAAGAATGTAAAAGTAATTCTGAAGTTTACCAAACCGTAAAAGTAATGAGATTAAAAAGAAAAGTAAAAATAATAAGATTAAAGATCATTACTTTTCTTTGAAGTGTTTATTTGACTATTACATGGCAAAACAATCTCATCCCCCTTTCTAGTGCTTATTAAAATTAAAAATAGTAATATTATTAATGTCATCACTATATTGTAATTCATTAATTCTTTTGACAATAGATCAATACTAAAGAGATGTAAAGGATTGATATTCTCTTTTCTCATTCTCTATATTGTGTGGGGCTTAATAAATTTTTATTACTGATTTTATAAGTAGACACATTAAAAATGAAAGGAAATCACTCTACTTTCATTTCCCTTTGATGCAAAATAAACATGCCCTTAAATATGAATTTTTGCTCCAATGATATCTTACAATTAAGGGATGACACCCATTAAATAAATAAATAAAGAAAAAAACAATTAAGGGATGGACAATGTGGCAGATTATGGTCCCATCTCAAACACATTTTATTGTTTTATAAGAAATATGAATGAACCAACTACAGGTATGACTATTATGAACTCATTAATAATCATCGAAAGAAACTCATAATGTTGTTACTTAAAAAAAAAAAAAGAATGGTTGAATGACTAAAACGGGAAAATATGATTCATATTTTGTTCCTTTACATGATAAAAATCATAGGTTATTACAATTTTCTTTTTATATTTATAAAAAATTGCTTTCATATCAATGATTGTGTTTCCAACATGATGAAAATCGTTATCTTTGAAATCTTTTCTTTTATCATTTTGGTTTAAGCTTGAAATTAGTATGATTCATATTTAAATAAAAATTTTTACATTTACTTTAAAAATGTTATGTTCTTTAAAAAATAAAAAAAATAAAAAATAAAAAATAAAAAACTTTACGAAAAACGTTATAATTTGTTTATAATGATGTTAAATGTTCGTTTTAATTTGTCTTAAAATACAAATTACTTTGTACTCTAAATAATGATTAACACAAATTGAAATTATGCATGTCGGAAGTACAGTGACTTATGTATTAGAGTTTCTTTTCTTTTATGGCATAATACTTGATTATATCTGATGAAAGATTCTAAAAATTAGTGATATATTGAGATTCTAATGAATCTACATCTAATCTAATACATGAGTGCGTTGTATAAAATACAAGCAACTACACGAAAACATGTATTTTATTTGTATTTGTTCTTGATGTTAAAAGCCTTAATAGATTTTTTTATTTGAAAAAAGTATGTGATCTCAAAAGATAACTACTATTATGACTATAAACCTTTTTGTGAAAGATCTCATGAAAAAGAGTACCTAGGATACATATTTTGATGGGATTTAGAAGCAAACAGAATCAAGTATAAAGTCAATAAATTACATTTGAGGTAGTAACTACCGCGTAAAATTTCTACTAAACTTTTAAGGTACTTGATACTTTACTTTATATCAAGCATAATTGTGATTAGGAGTATAGAAAGTATATCTTACTATTCTGAAAGGTATAAAGATCTACAATTGAATCTAAAGTATCATAAGTGATCATTAAAGCTGGCATCATATGGTTTATTATGAAGGTTTTTATCAGTGCGAGTGATAAATACCATGAAAATGGTCATCTAAGGAGTTAAAATGAAGTTCGCTTAATTTTATAACTCCTAACTCCGACCACCGCCGGTAGAAATTTCCGGTGAAGGGCGTCCGGCTAAAGTACTATTGAGGAAGATAGCCATCGAAGAAATGTCAGCCACTAAGCGGAAAACTCCCCTGAGAAAGGAGACCGTCTAATCGGTATTCAAGCTCCTAATCAGTTCAGATCTATCCAAATAGAGTCACTACACCGTACACCACCAAAACCACCACCACCATCAATAAAAAGCTCACGATGAGACGAACCGGAGGACCAAAATAAAACAAAACAAATTGATTACAAAACAAATTGCAATTTAAATTAAACTTAAGACATTGATTACAGAACATAGACTACAAAATTTGAACACATTTAACATTTTTTTAACATATTTTTGTATTAAATTTAAAAAAAAAATTACCTCCACACGTCAGTAACATATATTTTTTTCATTAAAAAAACATCTACAGAACTTCCAACTGCTATTCTTGTTGATCAATGAATGCCATGGTTTTCTTGCACTGAATCATCTCCAACTGTTCGCAGCCTCAAAGAGTACGCTTCCCTTGCACTTATGTCCTCTTTAACAAATTGGAAATCAGTTTGCACATAAAACAAGAAACAGAATTCCATTAACTTATCTATCAGTTACTCTTAAGTTATTCCACAAAGATTAAACGCCAAAGAGACCGAGCACCCGCTGCAGCGCCTGGCGAAAGTGCTCCACCGGCGACGCCGTCTTTGATATTTGATAATGCGATCTAGGATTTTTTTCCCTCAAATGAAGAATTAAATGGACAGCCGGGATTGGTCTTTGTGGATCAATGGCTGATATTAGAAGGGGTAATTTTGACATTTCTCACCTAAATTTAACAGAGTTAGTCGAGCGGATGTTGCCGTGATTAGTTTCAGTTCAGGAGGTATCACTGTAATTAACACATTTTGTAGGTACATTTAAAGTATATAACATATTTGTTAAATGTTTGTAAATAATAGCATGTTTTAAATTTCGGATTCTAAAAATAAATGCTCTTTTCAAAATTTATCCTTCAATTAGGGTTTTCATTTTTTTCTCTTAGAATACGAAACTCAGCCCCCACTCTCTCTCCTATCTTTTTTCTCTTTATCTTGCTTACCTCGCATTCTCTTTCTCTCTCTCGCCGCCTCTCTCCCTTTTCTCATCGCCGCCCAAATTTGCCGTCCAACCGGAGTATCCCTTTGCATTTTCAGTTCACTTCGCGACGCCATCGTCAAACATCATTCTCTCTCCGTCTCTCTCTCCTCGCGGCCAAAGCATGCAACTCTTCAGTGACATCAACTTTGAGAGAATATCGCGGTGGATAGCATGACAATTTCTCTGATGGCATCTCCGGCGGCATAATCGAACACGCTCCAGATCTCGGTTCCTCCACATCAAATCTCGTCATTGCTCGTGAACGAAGCTTGGCTTTCTCCTTTTTCGGCGGTGGTCACTCCGGAGATTGAAATGACCGCCACTTGATTTCCTTTTTTCTCTCTCTCTCTCTCTTAGAGTTTGTTTATTTGAAATGTTGGGGTATATGCCCATAAAATAAATAAGATGTAAATACTCTGCAGATTATTAATGAAATGAGGAATTTTTTAATATTATTTTGCATGAATGTGACGTTTTATAAATATCAAAAATCTCTAAATTATTTTAGATGTAACTTTAAACATTGTAAATAAGTGTTATATGTAGAGGATAATGTTTGAAGTAAAATAATCTAAACTTGTCTGTAATTATAAATTAAAGTTGAGATGTTTAATTTAAAATTACTAGTGCGGTTAATTACATTCTAAATGAAATAATCTTATTGTAGATTGTTAATAATGAGATTATTAGAATGAAAGCACTTTATGTCATATGATTACATAAGACCGGAACACGATTAATTATGAATCTCTAATAAATTTTGTTATTAAATAGAGCATTCAATATTAATCAATGATAGTCATATATGAATTAATCTTAATTTTGAGTAATTAATAGACTCTTATTTATGATATTATGTTCTTTGACATATTGAGTAATGACACATACGAATAGTGTCAAAGTCTTGGTATATTGAGAGCATAGTAAATAAATAGCCGGGAATAATAATTTACAAGACGAAATTCATTCTTTCATAATGAAGTAGATGAACGGTTCCCATAAGTGTTGATTCGGGGCTTGAATAATTAGAGCGCTCTATTTTATGATTGGAACATAAAATATATTATTCATTAGATGATCATTAGTACTTATGGAGAAAGATATAATTAAATAGGTCAACGAAAAATTCCTAGCTTTAATTATGAACCGTTTATGGAGGATTAGTTCGTATGTAGTGACTATATGAATGTACAACACAAATTCCGTGAACAAAATTATTTTATAATTATAAGAGTGCAATTCTAAATTCATAGTCGAGTAATTTAGAATTAATAATTTTGATATATTAATTAAGGTGTTAATTAATTGTCAAAATTATTGGAGCTCAAAATTATAATGTTCATAGTTCCTCTTGACGGCTGCATAAAATTAATGTGAACAATATATATCATATTAGGATATGATTGTTAATTTTAGAATTGAGAATTCTAAATAAACATATTAATTAATTCGATTAATTAATATTAAAATTAATTTAAAATTCTTTTAAATTAATATGGATGAATCTAAGCACTTTTATAGAAAGAGAGAAAAAAAAATTTTCGCTCTTAAATCTCTCCACATTTTTCATTAAGAGAAAAGTTTTTTTATTTTATTTGGCCATAATATTAAAAAAAAAGGAAAGGAAACATGTTGGTCCCGTTTAGAATCTAGTCTGAAAACGTTTTTTACGTTTTTGGAGGAGAAAAAAATAGAAATGGTTTGAGGAATACGTTCGGTGCTGCATCTTAAAAAAATAAAAATGAAAATGTTTTTGTCGGTAGTCCCAAAAG